ACCTTTATTTCTTGCCCCTGATCTAGAAATTGAACAGAATCTGTCCTTATCTTTTTCTGTTTTGCCTCTTATTCAAGTGGTAAAAGTATCCCTTTTCTTATGCAGTCCCAGACTCTAACTCCTCAGGGCTTGCTTTAGCCATCTCTCTCTTTCTTTTCTCTACTGCCTCTTTATTTTAAGTAGATAAAGATGTTCAAGTTTCTCTTGATTAAAAACCAAACAAAAGAAAACCTTACCTCTGACCAGGAAGTGCAAATCTTTGTTGAGTTATTATCATGTGCCAGTAGCAGCTTGTGTTAAGATCTTTATGTGTGTTATTTTAATTCTTTTATAGTAACCTTATTTCATTTGGTACCATTGTTACCAAATCATCCAGAAGAAACTTGAGGCTTGTTGAGGTGAAGGTGACTCAGGATCACTTTGATGGTTAAGTATGGCAGCAGGATTTGAACCTAAGCTGGCTGAGTTCAGAGCCCTGCAGATTTATTTATTTATTTATATTATAGTTGACATACGACATACAATATTATGTTAGTTTCAGGTGCACAATCTAATGATTCAACATTTATATGCTTTACAAAGTGATTACAGTAAGTACAGTAATCATCTGTTCTACATAGTTAAGATATTGACTCTTGCCCTGGCCAGTTTGGCTCAGCGGTTAGAGTGTCGGCCTGCGGTCCAGAGAGACCCGGGTTCGGTTCCCGCTAAGGGCGCGTACTTCGGTTCCAGTTTGTCCCCGGCCCTGGTCGGTCGTGTGGGTGGCGGCCACTCGATGTGTCCCTTCACATTGATGTTTCTCTCTCTCTCTCTCCCTTCCTCTCTTTCCCTCCCACTCTATCTGTGAAAAAAATGGAAAAATATCCTCAGGTGAGGATAAAAAAAAAAAAAAAAAGATATTGACTCTTCTCATGAAATGCTGTACATTTCATCCACATGGCTTATTTAATAACTAGAAGTTTGTTTTGTTTTGTTTATCCTCACCCGAGGACATTTTTCGATATTTTGTTCAGATAGAGTGAGAGGGAGAGAGAGAAACATCGACGTGAAAGTGACACATCAAGTGGTTGCCACCCACATGACCCAACCAGGGCTGGGGACAAACTGCAACCAAGGTACGTGCCTTTAGCGGGAACCGAACCCGGGTCTCTCCGGACCGCAGGCTGACGCTCTAACCGCTGAGCCAAACCGGCCAGGGCAATAACTAGAAGTTTGTACTTCTTAATTCTATTCCTCTTTTTTGCCCAACTCTCCACCCCATTCCTCTTTGGTAACTAGCTGTTTGTTTTCAGTATCTATGAGTTTGTTTTGTTCTTTTAGATTCTACCTATAAGTGAAATCATACAGTATTTGTCTTATTCTTTCCAACTCATCTCATTTCACTTAATAAAATACTTTCTAGGTTTATTCATGTTGTCACATATGGCAAGATTTCATTCTTTTTTCTGGCTGAGTAATATTCCATTGTATGTATGTATCACATCTTCTTTATCCATTCATCTATTTATGGACACCTAGGTTGCTTCCGTATCTTGGCTCTTGTAAACAATGTTGTGATGAACATAGGGATGCTTGTATCTTTTACAATTATTGTTTTTGTTTTCTTCAAATATCTAAAAGTAGTTTATTTAAAAACTTTTGAGGAATCTTTATACTGTTTTCCATAGAGGCTGCACTAATTTACAATCCCACCAACAGTGCACAAGGGTTCCTTCTCCTCCACATCTTCACTGTCACTTGTTATTTGTTGTCTTTTTGATAATAGCCATTCTGACAGATGTGAGGTGACATCTAATGTGGTTTTGATTTGCATTTCCCTGATGATTAGTGATGTTGAACATCTTTTCATTTATCTGTTGGCTATCTGCATATCTTTTTTGGAGAAGTATCTATTTAGATTGTCTGCCCATATTTTAATTGCATTGTTCTTTTGATATTGAGTTGTATGAATTCTTATGTATTGTGGATATTAATCCCTTATTGGATTTATCATTGCTGAATATCTTCTCCCATTCAGTAGGTTGTTTTTTGTTGATGGTTTCCTTCGCTATTCAAAAGCTTATTAGTTTGATGTAGTCCTATTTGCTTATTTTTGCTTTTGTTACCCTTGCTGGAGGAAACATATCCAAAAACAATATTGCTAAAACTGATGTCAAAGAGTTTACTGCCTATGTTTTTCTTCTAGGAGTTTTATGGTTTCAGGTCTTACATTTAAGTCTTTAATCCTTTTTGAGTTTGTTTTTGTATGTGGTATAAGAAAGTGGTCTAGCCCTGGCTGGTTTGGCTCAGCTGTTAGAGTGCCTGCTTGCGGACCAGAGAGTCCTGGCTTTGGTTCCCATTAAGGGCACGTACTTCAGTTGCAGTTTGTCCCCGGCCCTGGTTGGGGTCATGTGGGTGGCAGCCAGTCGATGTGTCTCTCTCATATCGATGTTTCTTTCTCTCTCTCTCTCTCTCTCTCTCTCTCTCTCTCTTCCCCCCTCTCTTCTTCCCGCTCTATCTGAAGATAAATGCAAAAATGTCCTCAGGTGAGGATAAAAAAAATAATAAGAAAGTGGTCTAGTTTCTTTATTTTTTTGCTTGTATTTATTCAGTTTTTCCAATGCCATTTATTGAAGACTGTCTTTTCCTCATTATATATTATTGCCTCCTTTGCTGTAGATTAATTCACCATATAAGCATGGGTTTATTTTATGGCTCTCTGTTCTGTTTCATAGATCTGTGTTTTTTGTTGTTGTTATTGTTTTTTTTTTTTTAATCCTCACCCGAGGACATTTTTCCATTTTTTGTTCAGGTAGAGTGGGAGGGAGAGAGAGGAACAGAGAGAGAGAGAGAAACATCGATGTGAAAGGGACACATCGAGTGGCTGCCACCCGCACAACTGACCAGGGCTGGGGACAAACTGCAACCGAGGTACGCGCTCTTAGTGGGAACCGAACCCGGGTCTCTCAGGACCACAGGCCGACGCTCTAACCGCTGAGCCAAACCGGCCAGGGCAGTTGTTGTTATTGTTGTTAATACTCTCCCAAGGACATTTTTTTCCATTGATTTTTAGAGAGTGGACTGGAGAGAGAGGGAAAGAGAGAGAGAGAAAGAAGAGAAAGACACATTGATTGATTGCCTCCTGCATGTGTCCCAACTGGGGAAGTGATCAAGCCTGCAACCCAGGTACATGCCCTTGACCAGGACTCTGGAAAATTCAGTTAAAAAAGAGAGACAGGAAGGGAGAGAGAGAGAAACATTGATGTGAGAGAGAAACATCGATTGGCCGCCTTCTGCATGCCTCCCACTGGTGATTTGGCCCACAACCTGGGCATGTGCCCTGACCAGGAATCGAATGGATGACCTCATGGTGCCTGGGTTGATATTCAGCCACTGAGCCACACTGGCTGGGCCAGATTTTTTTATTACTAAACTTTTAAGGGTTTTGCTATATTAGTGTATAGTGTGAATCCTAGAAAGGAGTTACAATATGCAGTGTTTCTCAGAAACATTATCCTTAAATAAGATAATATCCTGGAAAAAATAAAATAAATATAATATCCTTATCTTTATTCTTTATATTTCCCTGTCTTTATTTTTTCTCCTTTCATGTTACCATTCTAAAATGGAACTCTGGGCAACTCACCCAGTTAATGTCATTAATTGTTTCCTATTTCCTTTCATGTAAAATGTGAACCCCTTCACATTGCACACAGGCTTTTACTAATCTGGCTCTTGTATACATTTTCATGCTGCACTAAGGTACTTCTTGTTTGCCCTCCCCTCTTGAACTTCTGGGCCTTAACACATGTGCTATATAAAGTAGTATCTTCCCATTACCCATGTCTGATTGGCTAATTCCTATTGGTCTTCAGGACTTCTCTCAAGTGTTAAATTTTTCAGGAATCCTTCCTGATCCCCACAGTTCTAGTTAGATGTTCTTCCTTTGTTCCTTCATACATGGTTTTGTCATGTATAACAGTTGTGTTTGTGCAGTATAGAATGTATCTAGTCTGCTGGTTAGAATGAGAGCTCCTGAGAACAGAGATTATGTTTTCAATTTCTTTTTTTCAAGGCTTTAGGGCAACAGTATTAAAATATATGACTGAGACACTTTAGGTCTTTTCTAAAAATTTTCTGGGCTCGTTATCCTTTTTTTCTTCTTTTTTTTTTTTTATGTCCCCTCCCTTCCCACCTCCTTAGTACTCTTCCCTCCTTTACCTATGGCTCCACATTTATCTTTTTTTTTTTTTTATAATGTTTTATTGACCTTTTTAGAGAGAGAGGAAGGAAGAGGGAGAGAGAGAGAGATAAACATCGTTGAGAGATTGACTGGCTGCCTCCTGCACACCTCCCACTGGGGATCAAGCTCAAAACCTGGGCATGTGCCCTGACTGGGAATTGAACCAGTGATCTATGAGTCAGTGCTCAACCAGTGAGCCACACCAACTGGGCCACATTTATTATTTTTATATTTATCATTCACCCAAGATTTTGTTTAAAGAAAATGTTCTGTGTCTGAATGGAAGAAAGAAAGGAAGGAAAGAAAAAAGAAAAGAAAGGAAAGGAAAAGAGAAGAAAAAAGAAGTCAAGAAAGACAGCTTCAGTCCTAAATCTTACACCATGCTCAGAACAGTAGGCATTGAAGAAATAGGGTTGACTAATGAATTCGCACATCTACTCAGATAGACCGATATTGAAATGACCAGCAGTACTAACCCAGCATACCCAGTTTATTTCCCTTTCTGCCAACATACTACAGTTATTTTTTTCAAATAACTTTTATCATACTGCTTGCTCTGACTGAAGTTCCCTTTTCTTCCTTTGAAGAGGTGCTTTAATAAATTTTTATGGAATTAATTTATAGGATTGAATTTGACTTGATAGAATTTTTTGTTGTTGTCATCAGACAACCTCCGGGTCCTGAAAAGTCAATTTTTTGGTACAACTCTCCTATGAATTAATTGTTTAAATAATTTGTAGAATTATTTTCAACCTGATACAATGTTTTTCTTTTTCAGCTTGTGAAGCTTTGTATTGTGATGATTGATACCGGAAAAGCCTTTTGTGTTGCAAATAAACAGTTCATGAATGGGATTCGAGACCTGGCACAGTATTCTAGTAATGATGCTGTAGTTGAGGTTAGTATTTAAAAATTAGTTAAAATGATAAATGCAACAAGACATTAATAAATTGTGCATCTATTTGCCATATGAAGAGTTACAGTGGTCCTTAAAATTAGAAGTAGAAAAGCTGTCACCTGTTGGTGCTATGTTGTATAATTCTGTTTTCTTGGATAGCTAGAAGTTGATTTGCATTGTGAATATAAGTTTACTTACTGCTATGTGAGCTGAAGCATCTATAAGAAGGCTTGAGCAGGAAGAGCAGGATCTTGCTTGGTAGTAGCTGCAAGAGAGGAAAGCAGAGAGCATTAACCTAAGAATAGTGTCTAATTGTGATGGGCTGCATAGGAAAGTTTTGGTCAACTACCTATGCTAGGTTAGCCTAGATCCCTTTCTATACCATGTGGAATTAATGACATTTCTTTCATGAGGAATAATAACAGGTGAAGAAATGGGTATATTTTGATGAGTATTTGATTCAGAGATGCCTACATATGCACAGTCTCAATAACACTCAATTTTACTTTTAGGTTTATCTGTGCCATTCCTGTTTGTTAGCATAATACTATTGATAGGGCAGTACTGATTCTTTGATTATTCTAGGGTTTTATGATACTACATGTAGACTTGACCTCTGCAGAGCATGCCCATGAGGTAGTGAGATTGTCTTTAGAAATAAATGTTGTTGTTTACAATGTAACTTGATCTTTCTGTCAGAAATGCTGAAATCACATTTTTGTGGCCTGTTTTAGTGGATCTTATATGACTTGTTTTTTTCCTTTGGTTTCTTTCTCATAGACAAGTTTGACCAAGTTTTCTGACAGCCTTCAAGAAATGATCAATTTTCATACAGTAAGTGTCAGTACTTTTTTTTATGTTATTTAGTACTTTTTATTAGTGGCAGTATTTTATAAAATGACTTAGGTTGGAATTTAGTGACTTTGAATTTGTCAACAACTTTTTAGTTGGGTGTGTCTAAAGTGTGTGTGTGTGTGTGTGTGTGTGTGTGTGTGTGTCTGACACAGAGAGAGGGAGAACACATTTTATTTTCCATTCTAAAATACTGAACTTAGATCAGTGAAGTACATGCCCATAAGTTATTTTTTTCTTTCAAGTTGTAACATTGTAACTTTTTTTCTTCTTACCCGAGGACATTTTTTGCATTTATCTTCAGATAGAGCTGGAGGGGGGGAGAGAGAGGAAGAGAGAGAGAGAGAAACATTGATGTGAGAGAGAGATAACGACTGGCCACCACCCACACGACCCCAACAGGGGCCAGGGACAAACTGAACCTGGAACTCTCTGGTCTGCGGGCCGATGCTCTAACCACTGAGCAAGACTGGCCAGGGCATAACTTTTTTTTTTTTTTTTTTTGTGGTACATGCCCCTAGCAGGAACTGAACCTGGGACTCTCTGGTCCGCAGGCCGACACTCCACCGCTGAGCCAAACTGGCCAGGGTGGCTAGGGCATAACTTTTAAAGCAAATACTTCAATAATAAATAAAAGTCATTCTAAATTTAGTTATTTCTTTTTTTTCCATTTTTATTGATTTTTTTTTTTTTTTTTTTTTAGAGTGAGAGGAAGGGAGAGGGAGAGAGAGATAGACACATCGATGAGAGAGAACACCAATTGGCCGCCTCCTACATCCCCCCCACTGGGGATCTGGCCCATAACTTGGGCATGTGCCCTGACCAGGAATCGAACCGGCGACCACTTGTTGCATGGATCGTTGCTCAATCACTGAGCCACACTGGCCTGGCAAAAGACATGTTTTGGAAGGCAGCTATGCTCACCACTATACCACCAATGCCCTAAAAGACATGTTTTGTCCAGGAGGGAGGAAGAAAGAGAGAGAGAGGGAGAGACAGAGAGAGAGAGAGACAAAGAGAGACATATACATGAGAGAGACACATCGATTGGTTACCTTCCGCAAGACCCGGATCAGAACCAGGGACTGAACTGCAACCAAGATACGTGCCTTTGACCAGAATCGAACCCGAGCTTCTTTGGTTTTTTTCCGTGTTGCTCCTGCTTTTGGGGTCATATCCAAGAATCCGTTGCTAAATCCCAGATCATGATTTACCCCTTTTTTTTCTTCTAAGAGTCTTATGGTTTTAGCTCTAATATTTTGCACCAATTTGTTTTTAATGATTTCTTACTAGTTTCTTTTGCCTTCCAGTGAACTTGGATACTAGTGTATGATGTATTTGATTTTTCTTAAAATCAAATGTTCTCTTGGATTCCAACTTCTTACAAAATATAATATAGTGAGCGTTGCTTTTTTTTTTTGTTAAAAGTTATTGATTTATATTAATGGGTTAAATGTTTTCTCCATAATATGTTATTCTTTATAATAGTCCTGTTTCTGATATTTTCTAAATCAGTCTTATATTATTTTATGTAAAAATACCTTGCTTTTCTTTTTTAATCCTCATTTGATGATATTTTTCCATTGACTTTTAGAGAGAGTGGGAGGGAGGGAGGGAGGGAAGGAATGAGAGAGAGAGAGAGAAACATCAGTATCAATGTGAGAGAGACACATTGATCGGTTGTCTCCCACACCACCCTGCCAGAGGCTGGGATTGAACCTGCAACCAAGGTACATGCCCTTGACTGGGAATCAAACCTGCAACCCTTTTGTCCTTGGGCTGATGCTCTAATTGCTGAGCCAAACTGGCCAGGGCTACCGTACTCTCTTTTATAGTTTTATATGTAAAAAGTTATGGTTATGACAAACTTTTGGTAAGTTAATTGTTAAAAGATATGTTGGAAGCTTTCTTGTTAAGAAATTTTACTTGAAAATATTTTATAAAGCACTTTCTTAGAGTAAATTAAATTTTCAAACATTACTTTTGTTTGAAGCAGGGTATATAAGTATAGTTTGCTTCAAGAGGATAGAGATTGGTCTTTTTAGTGCTAGTGCTGTTAATGTGTACCTAGTTTCTTGAACTGATTTCAATAATGTATGTGTGTTTTTCTTTTCTAAAATTGAAAGCAATCAGTATTTCTTCACTTTAACATTGTTTTAAAAAGAACATACGATTTAGGCAAAGACAACTTAGATTGAGCTTAGGCTCCGTTGTATTAGCTGAGTAATTTTGGTCAATTTACGTAATCACTTTCATTTTTTAGTTTAGTGTTCTAAAAAAGGGGAATAATGGAATTTGCCATGCCTATGTGTAAGGAAGGATGTTGTGAGGAACAAAATGTGTGAAAGTAGACTCTGGAGAGTGATATTTCTTCCTTTCCTCTATCTGTTGGCATTCGTTCAGGGAACTAGAGACCACTTAGGCTATTTCTGATAGAAAGGTTTTAATACAGTGAAATGGTCACAAAAGAGTTGGAAGGGTTGAAGGAATATAAAAAGCCAAGGTAATGCCACCTGAAGATTAGTAAACATGGGAAGTAGCTATTGCCTCCAGGGCTGGAGAAACAGAAGTAAATGTGGTATTACTGGAGCTCCTAAGTGTCTGCAGTGATGAAAATATTGCCTTTGTTACCTTGCCAAAAGCCATGAGCTTGCCTTCTTTGTTGCTGTAACAGTAAGGAAAGGAGCCTGCAGTCCCATTGACACTTCCCTGAGTGGTCAATGATGGTGCTGAAAGTTGGAGTAGCTCACAGTTGTTCACTGGCTGTGTCACATGGGTTCTGCTTTTCTCCTGCCTGTTAATCTAACATTGGCACCCACTGGCAAAACTAAACCTCCTAGCTTTCAACAGGATCTGGGAAATACACTTTGCAGATTTCTAGCTCCTGGGAGACTTTGTATCATTTTACTCTGCTTTTCTCTCTCTCTCTCTCTCTCTCTCTCTCTCTCTCTCTCTCTCTCTCTCTCACACACACACACACACACATGCACACACAACGTGTGTGTATGTGTGTGTGTGTGTGTGTGTGTGTGTGTGTGTATATGAATGATCTGGTTCATTTTTTTTTTTTTATCCTTGCCCGAGAACATTTTTTCATTTTTTGTTCGATAGAGTGGGAGGGGGGAAGGGGGGGAGGGAGGGAGAGAGGGAGAGAGAGGGAGAGAGAGAGAGAGAGAGAGAGAGAGAGAGAGAGAGAAACATTGATGTGAAAGGTACACATCGAGTGGCTGTCACCCACACGACCCAACCAGGGCCGGGAACAAACTGCAACTGAGGTACATGCCCTTAGGGGGAACTGAACCCGGGTCTCTCTGCAGATGCTCTAACCGCTGAGCCAAACTGGCCAGGGCGGTTCTTTCTTTTTTTTTTAATCCTTATCCAAGGACACTTCCATTGATTTTCAGATAGAGTGGGAGTGAGAGAGAGAGGGAGAGGGGGAGAGAGAGAAACATCTACGTGAGAGACACATACCAATTGGTTGCCTTCCACATGACCCCAACCAGGGTTGGGTATTGAACTGCAACTGAGGTATGTGCCATTGACTGGAATTGAACCCGAGACCCTTTGGTCCACGGCCGACGCTCTAACCGCTGAGCAAAACCTGCCAGGGCTATGGTCTGGTTCTTTTTCTTTTTTTAATTTTTTTTCTTTATTGATTTTTAGAGAGAGAGGAAGGGAGAGGGAGAGAGAGATAGAAACATCCATGAAAGAGAACACGGACTGGCCACCTCCTGCATGCCCCCCACTGGGGATCGGGCCCACAACCTGGGCATGTACCCTGACTGGCAATTGAACCGGCGACCTCTTAGTGCATGGATCAATCACTGAGCCACACTGGCTGGGCTCTGGTCTGATTCTTAAATATACATACTTATTTTATTGTCTGTTCTTCTTTTTTTTTTCCCCTTAAACCTCACCCAAGGATATTTTTCCATTGATTTTTTTTAGGGAGAGTGGAACAGGGTTTGGGGAGAACGTGGATGTGATAGAGACACTTTGATTGGTTGCCTCCTGCACACTCCCCGACCAGAGTGGGATCAAATCTGCAACCCAGGTGTGTGCCCTTGGCAGATTGAATATGCAGCCCTTTGGTGCACGCGGCCCACACTCTAACCATTGAACAACACCAGCCAGGGCTTATTGTCTGTTCTTCTAAGTACTCTGCCTGCAATTGTTTTGTTATGTTTATCTCTGCTACTACCACCTAAAAGTTGGTGGTAGAAAGGAGTTACTCATTGCAGGGTTAGGGACACTGAGATTATGAATTGATGAAAACTGTTAAATGTTCTTTAATGGTCATTAAATGAATAAAGATGTATTAAATCAGTGGCAAAGCATATCACATAAACAACTAAGAGTATTTAATGTTCTTTTAATTTTTCTTTTACTGCTCCTCGTACTCGAAGATGTTCAGGATCTCTAGTTTGACTGTAAAATGTATGCTGTTTTGAAAACATAATTTGCAAACTAAGAGATCACTAATTGTCTGCCTATCTGCCTCAAGATCTGAAGGCTGTAAGTTGATGAGTTTGTGTATGGTTACATATATAGTTATATATATGTATATATGGAGAACTGTTTGATATTACCTCCAGATGGTCCTGTGTCTTTCTTAAGTTGGTTATTCAGGTTCATTGTTCTATAATTTAGTTGTAATTCTAGTTTGGTCCTGGGAGGAGGTGAGTGTAACTTCCACCTATTCTGCCACCATATTGGATCATCTGTACTGTGCCTTTCTAATTTTATTACCACATTCTTTTTTACAATATCTCAGAAATGTTTCTTTTAATAGCTATAAGTATGAAATTGCTAGACCTTGGTTCATTTTTTTTCCTTTTGTGGTTGCTATGCTCTCTGTTTTAACTGGCCTTTTTGTTTCTTGTTAACAAATACTTTTAATTTTTTCCAATAGGAGTCACTTATATAGTACCTGAATCAGAATTTTTTTTTTTTTTAAACTTATCTTTATTGTTGCCCTGGCT